TGTGTGTGTGTGTGTGTGTGTGTGTGTGTGTGTGTGTATGTATGTGTGTTCCATGTGCATTTTATTTGGTAACTTCAACATGGGAACCAAAGAAGCTAGGAAGCTGAAATTTTGGCAAAATATTCCCCGCACACATGCGACTTCGCAAAACTAATTCAGCATTAATTTACCCACTTACAACCGCTCGAAAGCATTAGCGGAGAGGATTATTATCTCGGAAATCACGAAAACTGGGGAGCTGAAATTTTATTAGAGTGTTTTACGTCCACACTCTTAAACTCAGCCTCCAAGTGCTCACAGGCGTCATGTAAGATCCCGCGAAAGTTTTGGCGAAAAAAATTATTTCGGAAACCACGGGAGTCAGGAAACTGAAATATTTAAGCGACTCCTGACCCTACGAATCAGCAAATTTAAGCTAAGCCCTCCCACGCGCCCGAGCAGCACATACGGCCCCGTGGAAGTTAAAGCGAGGAAATTACTATCTCGGGGACCACGAAAGATAGGAGGCTGAAATTTTACGACAATATTCCCTGAAATTTTACGAAATTTTAGGAGGCTGATATTTCACGAAATTTTACGACACATACAACATCGCAAATTCGGATTTTTCTTTCACCAATTTTTCTTTCTTGGGTACCATGCACTGCCCAGAGGAAGTTTTGGAGGGAAAAATTATTATCTCGGGAGCGAAAAGAGCTGGGAGGCTAACAAACTTAACTCCGAAGAATAACGAGGTCACACGTATATGACCAAGTGAATGTTTTGGTGCGAAAATTACTCGAAAGTCAGAGGACTAAAAGGTTGAAATTTTGGCACAATGTTCATCGTCCAAGGTTTCAAATTCAGCTTTCACGTACGTTTGCTTTTCACATGCTGGTATTAGAATTTTTTTCACGTGCTGGTACGTAAAATTTTTTGATGGAAAATTTCGCAGCTTAGAAACCAAAGAGTATATCGGCCATTTTTTTACACTCTAAAATATAAAACAATGAAAATCCTTAGAAAACAAACATCTGCTGCTCGAAACTGTGCAAGACGCGCCCCGTGGTGAGCGCCACTATTTATTCATTACTGATCAAATGCAATAAAAATATACCTGTCCAAAAACAACGTAAAATCGGCTTTCGCGCGTGCAGCTTCAAATTTCAGGTCGCAAAACTGTTGACATCCTCCCCTCAAAAATCAGATAAAAAAGGAAAGCTGAAATTTTGTGAGCACAGTTCTCGGCTACATCGCCGTCCTAAAATAAGCGATCAACCAGCATTCGCAACCTTTAACCAACATAAGTTTTGATAGCACATCCATGCTGACCTGCGCAAAAACAACGAAAAATACAATATATTACAAAAAACTCGGTTCTACTCGCACGGCAACCACTGAGGGATGTCCTCGTTTCTCTGCTAATGCTATTTTCCGGCGCTTGTTGGCATTTTGCTGGCAAGCGCTGGGTAGCGTTACCCAGGCCCCAAAGAGGGGAAAGTGAGGCAATAGCTGAGAGAGAAAGGGGAAGAGGGTGGAGAAGGCCGATGGTGGGGCCGGGGAAGAAAGGATGGGGTATATTTGAGGTGGTGTTGGTGGGCGCCCAAACACCGCCCTATGGGCCAGGTTCGTAGGACAGCACGGAGCAAAAGGGCAGTGGCGTTAGTCGAGAAGTTCCGATTCTTTTTCACTTTGCTTTTATTCATAGCTCAGGTTTGCTTCAGTATGATTTTCTTTTATAGCACTGTGTTGTTCCTTCCTCTTTGTTGCTGTCTCCAGTTCTTGCCTCGAGCTTCTGACTTGTGTCTTTCTCTATCCTGTCCGCAAATCCTATTTGCAACAT